TATATTTTCATTTCTGTTTAGGTTACATGCATCAGCCTTATTGTTCTCATGCTGTCGTTTCACTTAGGCATGACTCTCTCGTGCCTGTCAGTTCATTGACAGGACGACGTCATTATTGTTCCGCCTCCATGCTTCTTTTATATTGCCTTATTGTTTACTCACCGAATACCTACAGCTTTACTTATGGATACAAGCAACTCTTATTGTAGATCCTCACGGTTATGGTGCGAGATACCTCTCACGGTTTCATATCCCATTCTGTATATAAGACTAGGTATTTTGTAGTTATATTCCTTAGCTCTATTCTTGTCTATACTCCTCGGTAGCTAAACTTGTAGTTGGGTTGTTTTATCCTCATCGCTTTTCTCATCCTCTTGCTCATCGTTCATCATGTGATGCCTGGTTGTCTCTTGTGAGAGCTAGTGAGTCGCTGACATCCTTCTCCTTGGCGACGTTAGTGAACTCCTGGTCCATGTTGTTGCTAAGTTCCTTGCCAGTGACATCCCAGAGCACCTTGTCAATATCAAAGTGGTCATCTGTGTAAACTTGGGCCCACTCATCAGCCTTTCCTCCCACCAGGAAGGACATAATAATAGTAGTAACATGATGGGAACTATCAACCTGCCTTGTCTCTGTTAACTCGGAGACATAAGCCATCATCCTTCATCGCCATGGTCGATATGTGGTGGGATCTCCATCATAGTTCCCTGGTGTATTGACAAACACCCAGCATGCTGAGGGGTTAGGATTGGTGACTTCGGAAATGTCAGGTGCATGAATTGATCTGTCAGTCATGTTGGTTTATGTAGGAGGGGTAAGTTTGGTGTAAATGAAAAATGTGTAACGTATCAAAAGGAACTAGTCTCCAACGGAATGTTGAATCCTAGGCAAGTTTGTAAAAATGTTTTGTGATAGGTGGTGTGTGGTAGAAGCTCTATTCTTCTGTCAGTGACTTGCTAGCTCTCACAAGAGACAACCAGGAATCACACGAGAATCGATGAGCAAGAGGATGGGAAAGCAATGAGGATGAATAAAACAACCCATCTACAGGTCTAGCTACCGAGGAGTATAGACAAGAATAGAGCTAAGGAATATAACTACGGAATACTAAGTCTTATATACTAATGGGATATGTGTCAGCGACTTGCTAGCTCTCACAAGAGACAACCAGGTGTCACATGAGAATCAATGAGCAAGAGGATGGGAAAGCAATGAGGATGAATAAAACAACCCAACTACAGGTCTAGCTACTGAGGAGAATAGACAAGAATATAACTAAGGAATATAACTATGAAATACTAAGTCTTATATACTAATGGGATATGAAGCTGTGAGAGATGTCTCGCACTGTAACCGTGAGGATCTACAATAAGAGTCACTCATATCCATAAGTAAAGCTGTATGTATTAGGTGAGTAAACAATAAGGCAATATAAAAGAAAGCATGGAGGTGGAACAATAATGACATTGTCCTGTCAATGAGCTGACAGGCATGAGAGAGTTGTGCCTAAGTGAAACGACAATGTGAGAACAATAAGGTTGATGCATGTGATCTAAATGGAAATGAAAATATAATAAGCACTAGTGTAAGCACTTTAATGATTAGGTAAGTAAATTTTAAAAAAGGAAAAAGAATAATAAAAGAAAAGAATAATAAAAAGATCATTTCGTGACAAGGAGTGGGGCTAGCACCACACACGAAGGCTGAAAGATATAATGATCAAGACAACAGTGATAGCACAAGGGCCAATCACTAGGGTCACACTAGGAAAACTAGTTCCAAAGACCAAGTAAGTATATTGAGTGTAAATGAAGATACTGGTACTAACCTAGTTCCAAAGACCAAGAGGTCAAGATGGGGAACTAGGTGTCAACTATTGTACTATATATATGGGTGTCTGGATGAGTAAGCGACAGCATGGGAAACCAATAGAAGTATCCGGAACATGATAGAAGAAAGTAGGAGGATATGGAAGGAAGTAGAAGAATCCAAACAGTAACAAAGATAGAGAAAGGAGGAAATGTAGGAAAAATGAAGTAAGTACTGTATCCTGTGTAGCATGTCACAACAGACTTATCAATGACTATGTGCTCTTTGACAAGGCAGGATTCAAACATGTTGTTGTTTCTGCCTTTGAGGCTATGCACCAACCAGGTTCAGGGGGGAATGTGGTGCCCATTCACACACAGAATGGAATGCTGGGAATTGCAGCATTGGCAATGCTTGTGAATCCTACAAAATAGTTGCTTTTTTTATCTAATACACCTCATCTTGTGTGTGTAGAGTACACACATAGATGTATTTTGATGTTTTGCCTCCCTTCATGTGTGTGTGAGTGATCATGTGGCTAATGTAATGTTGGCCTTTGTTTGGCCATGGTTCATTTTTTCACTCAATGTCCATGATGCCTCCATCCTCAACACTTTTACCCAGCTCACCACACCTGACTGCCTTCAAGGTGCAAAAGAGTCTTGCTGCAAGCAATGCCTGAACATCCTGGCTTTTCAAGACACACGCAGGCCCCAGTTCAAGAACTCCTCAATTGTCCCTCAAACAATCGCTTCCTCAATCCCAATTGGATGTCAAGTTTCTTATGCATTATACAAACACCTCAATCCTCTTTCATGCTCTCAAAATGGAGCTCCTCAAACCTATGCAAGTTTCCTCAACCTTCATCATGTTCCATCGTTCCCTCAAGCTCACCAGCACACATATTACAATCTGTTACACATCTTCTGAACATTTAAAGGTCCAGTCTTGGCTGAGTCGGGCTTCAATCTCAAGGTGACAGTCAGGTGAGTCTTCTGTTGTTTTCTGAGATATCGAACTGATTCCGTTCAATTTTTGAAGATGTCAAAAGCAGTCTTTTATGTGACACGGAATGGAGCAGGTACATGAAGGGTTTTCTCTCTTCGTAGCATGTATGTCTTGTACTACATACCGTCCATGTAGCTCTCCTCAATGTAGCAATAAAATATTTCGTACGGAATGTATTTTTCTGACCAGGGCTCATTTGATCCTGGGTTCGGACCTACGGATTCCATATCCGAGCTGGGTCCGACCCAGGTCTGGGTTTAAGCTCAGTTTAATAGTATTACTTGCCTGTGCATCTATCTCTGAACATCGTGGTAAAATCTTCACGCGCGCTAATCAGGCGGAACGCAGAAGGACAGTCATCGATTCACTACTTGGCTACACAGATATGCCCGCCTCAAGCTCCCCAAGCAACATTGTACCGTCTTTGCTCCCTGTAAGTACTGCATATCCGAGAGCAGTTGATCAGAAAGGAGCAGGTCAGAATGATAACATAAACCGCAAGAACAAAGGATGAGGGAAATACGATGATAATTAGTGAAGAAAAAGTTAGCAGTCAGAAGAAAACAGTCAACACAAGAAGGAACTCACGAATAGGCTCCTTGGGATGAAAATCAACGGATGTGACGGTTCCTTTATGGCCCGGAAGCTAAGAGACGAAAGGTGTTAGCATCGTTCCGTCCGAAACGCCAAATGCTGACCTTGTAGATCAACTTCCCACTCTCCACCTCCCACACACAAACCATTCTATCCGCACCTCCAACCGCCACTCTCTGACCAGTTTTCCCACCATGAACTTCCTCATCCTTGGTCCATGCCCCTCTCAAGAGAGTATTCTCGAATCCAGCTGGAGCTCCCCTCAGGACCCGATGAATTCTTGTGGGGCTCGGGCTAAATGGTCTGATATCGTGGATGAGGACGTTGGAGGAAAGGGATGGTGAGAGGAGGAAGTTACCGTCGGGAGAGAGGGTGAGCGAAGTTGGCGTGTCGGTGTGCCCGGTTAGGGAGAACAAAGGTTGTGTGTGTGGATAGGTGCCGTTGGCATTGACGCTTGGTGCGTTTCGGATGTCGTATACCTGGAGAGAAGCGGCTATTAACACTCGAGCTCATAAATGACCGATAGAAAGTTGGAAAAAGAACTGAGGGACTGATCCAAGCTGGTACACCTACATGAATTTCGTTATCCAAAGCCGCCACGTACACATTCTGTCCATCTTTTGCCCAGCATACTCCCGTCACGGGGCATCCAACATCTATCGTCGTAACTGGATGCTTTCCTACTCCATCATCACTGCTACTCTCCCACACCTTCACCGTCCCGTCGTCACTTCCTGTGACAATCAACTCCGTCCCACTGCCACCAGCCATCGTCCGGTCTAAGGAATTGATTATTCCCGCGTGAGCGCGAACTTTTCGTACCCTCTCTCCCGTTGTTGTGTCGACTACAGAGAGAAGATGATCGGCTGATACGGTGTAGATCCATGGTTGGAATAACGACCATTGTAAGTCTAGCAAAGGTGCTTTGACAAGGTTGGAGAGCAAGCCGTAGTTGGTATTTGGTGAATAGGTGTTCCAAAGCGACAGCGAGCGGTCCGAAGAGCAGGCTGCAATGTGTAAACCTGATGGAGAGAAGCGACAAGATAAAATTTCACCCTATGTACAAGCGTGTCAGTGTGATTTTGGAGATAGGAAAAAAAAACAATCACAAACCGAATGGGCCCCTGCAAGACTGACAATTGGAGCATCCAATTTACTTGTTCGTTGCACACTCCGTATTAGACTTTTGTTTCTTGGATCATTATTAGAAGAGATAGCTATTTCTCTCGTTGTCGGGAATCCAGAACCGTCAGTTGAACTTTTAGCGCGTTTTATCAGTGCACCTCCACCTGGCGGAGATATAGAACGTTTCGACATTGCGATGACTGGTAGTCGTTTCTGACTTGCGCGAAGAAAGAAACAATGAGAAGTTGGAAAGAGTGATGGCGGATGGCGGGTGGTGGAGGAAGTTCGAATCGTCACGCAGTCACACCAGAAAAGACCAGAAGACTTGTAAAATCAAGATCAAAGCGGACTTACTCACCCGACAACCACTGAAATGCATTTTATATCAATCTGGGTTGAACTTACCTCTAACTCTGCTTGCGCTAGTTATCATTAAAAAAAGACAAAGAAAGTTAAAAAAAGAAGGGCCTGACCGGGAATTGAACCCGGGACCTCGTCGATAGTAATTAACCCTAACAACGAATCATACTCCTAGACCATCAGGCCACATATTAATAGCTGTGCGAGATACTGTTATAATTTCAAAAAGTGCCTTTCTTACTTCCAGACTAAGTTTCTTCTCCTGTTGAAGATCCGTCTCTGGCAATCTGCGAAGGATGAGCAACGACTATAAAACTTTCACTGAAGCATGGCTTTCTTTCAAGAAAAGGTTCTATTGAAGGATATGTATGACTTGTAAATAAATAAATAATCCCACGATCAGTAAACAAATAACTAAGGTCGGGCATGCGTTAGTGTTATACCCTTCACTATGATGGGACTAACTTACCTTGTTAATTCCCTCAGCACTTTCCATCATGCCAACATTATCATGCGAGACACCCTCTACCCAGTCCACAGTAGCATTGGCTGGCCATCCGAAGGTGCTGTCGATCATGTTTACAAAGTTCTGGCCTCGAGTATAGTGCGTAGAGCCTTGAGTCTAGTGAAAAGAGCACCCTTCAGCAAAAAGAAGAAAAGAAACAAAAAAGTAGGTCGATTGAAAAAGGAACTCATTTACCTCTGCCTCACATCTAGTGTCTCCATTACCATTGTCTGCCTATCAAAGAAATCATAATACGTAAGGAGGCAAATCCGCGAGGGTATTCATGGGAAGAAATCTGACCGTTCCCCAAGCATAATTCACGATTCGCGAATTGTACAAAGCTACAATCGAATCCCGATCGAGGTCACTCGCGTACGCAGGGAAGTCACCCGCCAAACCATACTTATAGTCGTCAACGCCGGAACACGATGCGTTAGGGTAGGGTCTATCGGTGGAGAGCCACATTATTGAACCAGGGTTGGCTACATAAGATTACCCAAGTTAGTGTGATAAGCTTGTTGAATGGTGGGGAAATACAGAACTCACCAACCCAGAAATGAAGACGATCATCGTTCTCAGTGGTGTGGCGTAAACCAATGTAACGCTGGACCATTTGACCTCCTGCAGAGTGCCCTGCCAGAACGACGGTCTATGATAGCGGTCAATGAGGGCACGATCTCAACAACATAAGTTGCTCACATCTAAGTTTGGATACAATGTTTTATTCATGTAATAACTGATCAACGCATCGAGGGCCTTGAAGCTGCTGTAGTCCGAGATGCCAGTGGGTCCGACGTTTTCGTGACCACTGATCCACGTCGTCATGCCCCAAATCAGAGCATCAGCCGGAGCCGCACCAGCTTCCACGTCTACCTCAGTCCAGAAGCATGGTGCCATAATCGATATTTGCGAACGGGAGATGGAGGAATTTTGGTAATTGGCAACGTAGAGAGCGTTATTCATAGCGTTCCAGTAGTACCAGCAATCCCGAGGCTATTATGATTCATTCATCAAAATTCAATAGAATGGGAACTGAATGCAAGGGATATATCAATCACCTTTCCGGGTAAAATGATAACTGCTCTGGTTACCTCGCTCGGGATTAAGCCAGTCGTTTGATAAACGGGCTACGATACACATTTCGTTCAGCGAAGAGATAAAAATAAATTCACACAAGCACGTACCAGCATGGCCCCGGAATCGTCCAGCAGCCAATCAGGATAAGCCGTCGCGTCTTGAACCTGGGGCATTGACTGCCAGCCTCCATCTGGACTACCACCGACTTCTGGGTCTGGGTTACTCTCCTGACGAGGGACGTGCTCCGCTCTGAGAGGATGATGCTGAATATTAGCGGCAAAACTGAACGCCGCGAGTGTCAGTATTAGAGGGATAGAAGTTATCATGGTAAAAAAATCAGAGAAAAGAGCGACAGTGAAAGAGTCCAAAAAGAGTGAGGCTGAATTGCTGTGGGGGGGGGAGATTAACCAAAAGCCACGCTATTTATCAAATCTTGGAAGCTAGAAACTCCCGCACTTGAAACTCGCGCATTATCGCTTCCGAACGCAGGGCTTGAAGCGGAGAAATGAATAATTCACCGGGAAATCATCCCTTCAAAAAGAGACGATTATCCATGCGACGGCTAAGGATTACTTGAAATTACGTATTGAAACCACGGATAGGACCCAGAAAGAGCTAGGAAGCTACCGAAGATCAGGCAGTTGAGTGTGAGCTCTAAGCGCTGAGGGTGTTCTGACAGTACTTTGTGGCGAATTCAGATGTGAAGTGCAATGTGCATATGATATGGATCTGGAGTTGAATTGAGTCATTAGATATTCACACTGTGTCAGGGAAACTGGAAGCGGGCCCCATCGGGTACATATCGCTTTGTTGCTTTGCGACCACGGAGACATTGGTTAGAGAAGGGTATTTTATAAACTATCAGTGTAAAGCGCTGCACCCTGTTCAAGCCAACGTACAGGAGGTGTTTTGCGTTCTCCAAGATCGACCCGGTCACAGCCTGTGACAGAGCAGTTACCTTCCGATATTACGCGAGAAGAAAGACCTAACTGGTTGCTATCTTTTAGTCTGCTTCTTTCGCGAATCTAGATGAGTAATTATATGGCACCCAAAGCCCGAGGCCCTGGACAAGTTGGAAGACTGTTGAAGAGAACACAACGGAAGTTACATATCACAAGTTACCCGCTCGGGCGCTTTTGGGCGCTTAACCAAGAGGCTCTCAGGCTTGGGGAGGGAGGAAGAAGCCATAAAAAACTACTACACACAAGAGACATTTGAGTATACATTCGACAGTGTATTGACAATGTTAGAAATATTTACGGTTATTAGAAGGATTCGTGGCTTCATGGGGCAAGTAGAACTAGATACTCACAATGCTACGATATTAATTTTCATTCCCAGCAAACGAAGTTCCCCTAGTCGAGGATGATCAAGCATCTTCCTCGCTTGACCGTCTGGCGCTGTAATAAGCACTTCAATTGGTGAAAGTTTGTCATATTCAGCAGTGTTGGCACAAGAAAGGCGAGAAGAAACACAAAGAAATAGTGCCTCTATTGTGTCCCAGGTCTCAACAGAATAAGGAGAAAAATGGAGTTCTAGTCGACGAAAGGCGGGGAACGGGGCCATCGACGACGACCCCAAAGACGCCGCATGAGGCTCCAAAGAAGAAAGGACATTCTGCACAGACACAAATGAGCCATAATTAGCCGTCTCCCCAATGCTTCTGATCACAAGCGATTTGAGATATGCGTTGTTCTGCGTGCCTCCATCAAAAATCTCTGTCTGTCCCGTAATATCCAATCTTTCCAGTTTGAAAGCAGACCGCTTCTCGAATCCCTGGATAGTAGACTTTTGCGAGCCGTAAGTAACGACGGATAAGAGCACGAGAGCCAAGCAAGTAAGCGAGTCAAGGAATGTTTTGGGGGCCTTCAATTCTGCGGAAGTTTTTGTTGGTCGATGATCTAAGACGAGCTCTCTCAATCCAGGCAGATTGACTGGATTGAATCTGCCTAGATAGACCGAAAAAGTCTCACCAATCTCTGCAAATGAGGAAGCAGTTGAACGATCCTCAAAACTTCCCGACATGAGACCGTGGAGATTGAGTAATCTGTGATCTGGCTACTGAGCGTAGTCGAAAGCGTGATTTTAACGGGAAGTTTCATGCCCACTGTCGACCATGATTTCAAACGCAACGCTGGTATATCAATGACTGTTGGTGTGTCGTCCGAATCATCCTGTACTCGTAGTGTTCTCAACATCGGGAAGGAGTCTTCTGCGAACATCATATTGAACCCTTGTCCTTTGCCCAGAAATAATGATTCCCAGCGCCGAGAATACGAGGCCATTAGAACGGAAATGCCATAAGCTAGGTCATCTGAGCTTGAGAAACAATTTGCGGGCACATCGACGTAAATAGAAAGAGGTAGCGCGGCAGAACGACCGAGATAAAGAGATAAAAGAGAGAGACCAAAAGGTAGCCGAGGAACATTCGAAGTCGACATGATGTTCACCTTGTGACGCCAGAAGCTGGTAATGTTTTTCATTTCGACTTTGACCCGTGTCCAAAGTAGAGGTGTCTGGATAGCTATTTCCTTCCAGCGATGACACACCCGGCCATATGTCCATGGCGGAGAGCCAAGGTCCAGAGAATGTTTTGCCGCGAGGAAGTACTCCTCAGGATCCGTATAATAACCTACACCATGTAAGAATATTTCCACTAGAAGGTCCTCCGGCATACGTCTCATAGGATTGAGCAACTTTTTACGCTTCGAAAATGCCATCCTTATGTCTTCTTTGGCAGTCTCGAGTTCGTCGAGAAGAGCCTTCACCAAGACTATGCGAGCCTCGAGGTGACTGAGCTTTGATGGCGCATTGCTTATAAAACTTTGGAGCATGGACTCATCTTCGTCGGAAAGGTAATCATTGGTGCGTAGGAGGCGATGGATACGGTCCTTAGGGAGAGGCGTAATCAGAGGAACACTGACAAAGGAGTGTCCGCATTTAGGGCACGCTGAAGCGGGTGTGGTCATGTTGAATGATTTGACGCCGAGTGCAGCCTTGCACAAACAGCCATTCAGGAAATTGTGAGTATTGAGCTTGATGATGAAAGATTTGCAGAGAAATGGGACTTACAATGCTGGTGGTGGGTGTTGAAATTGTGGATCAATCGTGCCTCGTGGGTAACACGAACTTATGCTCTGAACTGTCCCAAAATATATACACATGTACATGTACGGCACGTATGAATGCAGCGCAGCCAGCCTGAGCATAGCCAACCTCGCGCAAGTTCACCCAGACAGCTTCAAACCTCCACTGCCCAATTACCCCTACGGATTATGTTCAGCAAAGTACTTCCTGGTCTAGGTTGCGCCAGAGTTCTGGTGCAGCCCGATGATATCGAGACCCACAAAAAAGAGATATCGTACAGTAGGCAGAATGCTACTTTCAGGATACATAGCCGTGAGATGTCGTATAACACCAGGCGTAACGTTTAGAAGGCTGTCAGAGGCAGTCCCGAAAGTACAACATGATTGTACTGTCGTTGAGGCGAAATGAGGCAAGGTAAAGCAAGAATTTCCGACGTGTAGTGAGGGACGGGTAAGTTGGCTATCAGCGAGAGACAAATATGTTCGTCGGATTCGTGTGCTCATGCGCATGAGAAATC